TGTTTGAAGTCGATTAAACCGATGATGTGTCCTACAGAATGGGATATAGTGCAAAGCTCTCACTACTCGGCTACCGCGAACGCCAAACTCGCTTGCTTTGTTTACTTACTTTTACAATAGACAACAGGTGGCCCTTTTGGTCAGTCTTGTCATCGAAAATTCGCCTGATCCGCATTAAATTTTAAGGATTAGCTGCAGGACCTAATCCGGCTCAACTGCAATTAATTCCCGAAATAACTCCGAATTACCGAGTTGATAAGGATCAATGCTGTCGTCTATCTATGCTTTAACAGTAATGAGAATGATAGCTGCTCAACTAAAAAATCTTGTGTAATATTAGTTTTATGGTGTCCTCAGGCAAGTTTAATGTAGTTGGAAATTAAATTTATTAAAAATTTATATTAATTTTTACGCTATTCTTTGTCAGCTATACTTACGTATGTATATTTCATTTATGTTTAAATAGCTAATTATTTTTAATGTTGTTTGTGCACTTTGTGGTAAAATGTCTAATAACAACGAGATATTTACCTAAATAGCTTTAGTGATATGAAAGTAAGATTTGCCAAAATATATAGAGTATTTAAAATACGGCTAAAAAACTAACTGTATGTAGGAGTGTTGTTAAACTAACACAGTATAAGTTTAATTAATGACAATTAAAATCTAAAATACATAAATAATTATAATTAGTAATTACACTGCCAAAGATGAAAATTTGTCATATATTTTAGTAGATGCATATGTACAAGTATGTATGTATGTATATCAAATTTTCAGTGATGTTATGTAGCTGATTTATTTATATATTTGTTTATGTATATATTTATATACGTTTAATATTAAATTAATTTTTGTTGGTGGTTTTTGAGCGCGTGATGCAATCTAGTATACTACATAAATATTATATATGTATATATACATACATATGTGCATTAGTACGGAACGAAAACACTATACAGGATACACTGCTGCCACCCTCCAGAATTTTTGAAAATTAAAAAAACAAAAATAAACCCCTATTTTATTTTTAATCGGTTAATATTTACTGGTGTCGCCGAGCTTTTTTTACATGGAACCCTTACTGATTATAAAAAAATTTTTAAGTACAGATTAGTATAGTACTTATCACAACTATTAATTTATTATTTTTTAATTTTAATTATTTATGTATATGTAAAAGTGTAGTTTATTATTTAACCAAAACCAGATAAATCCAATTTTTGTGCAATATTAAAAAAAATCAACAAATTTTCCTAAAAATTTGGAGCTTTTCAATTCGATATCTTATCTTGTATCTTGTATCCCAAAAACTCAAACAAATTTCGTAAAAATTTCGTACTTTTTAATTTGATTTGTTAGAGTATGCAGTTTTGTAGATTCAATTTTAGTATAATAAAGTGCATTTTTGAGGTAGCTGGCACTTGTAGTTGATTTTTGGGATTTTTTTTAATGATGTCAGTCATTTTCTTACATGCAAAGTATGTTCGACAACTTTTTTATATGGTGAAAATGAGCAACATAACCAATAAAAACACTGCATATTCAAAAGAATTTTAAGAAATCTAATTAAAAAGCTATAAATTTTTCGAAAAGTTTGGCCAGTAGAAAAGGAGTTGCGCTACATCATGGCAATGCCCGGCAAACCCACTTCTTTGATGACTCGGAACAAATTGACGGGACTTGATTCAGAAGTTTTAATGCATCCACCATATCTGACTTCCATTTTCTTCGGCAGCTCTCCAATAGACCACAGAAGTTGTAGACTGATGGAATTATGTAGCTACCCGAAAAATGGCAAAAGGCCATAAAAAGTAACGGCCAATATGTACTTGGTTAAAATTGATTTCCAATCAATTTTTTTTTTCAAAAATGTAACCAAAATTCCGCAGTGACTTTTGATATGACCCAATCGTGAAAATTTTCTAAAACTAATTCCGAATTTCCACTAGGCATTGCAATGACGAAAAATGAGTGAAATTTAAAAAATGCTTTGTGGAAACGAATTTACATAATCACGATTTCTCCTAACGTAATGGTACAGGTATTTTCAAAGCCCAACTTTGTCATTAATATTTTTGTCATTTATTGCCAAGTGAAATTCCAGAGACCAAGAAAATGTTTCAAACACAAACCGCCAGAAATGGACATATGTTTGTCGTGTGTGTCTAGCTTAAGTGCAATTTGTACCTTCTGTGTAGTGCAAAGCTGAGTATATTTTTGAAGTAAGTAGAATGCACAGAAAATTAATTCTAAATTTAGATTTCTTGTTGAATAAAAATCAGATTTTATTTTTAATCTACTTAAAAAAAAAAAAACAAGGATGTTGTCTTTTCGTCGCCTATATCTGTTTTATTTTTTAAGCCTTGGATCCTATCTAATGTACATATGTACATGCATACATTAATATCTGCAGTCTAATTTACACACATATTTACATTCATTACGTTCATTTTATTTGAAGAATTATTTAATTTAACATACTCAAATACATAATTCATTTTTTATTGTCCTTAATTATTTTTACTTTAAGGTGGCCTTACAATGCCAGCTTTTGGAGTGCAGTTTCAGTTGCATTCGAACTTCGAATTCTTATGAAAGGATAATTATAATAATTGCAAACAAAAAAACACTCTCAACATTAAGCTGACATTGTAAACCATTGTTTGGTTTTTCATAAGAAAAAATAACTTATGCTTTCCTCTGCCAGTTTAACAACACTCCACCAGTGAAATTGCAATGCCATTTAACAGAAAAACAATAATGAGAAACATTTAAACTTAGGTATTTAATTGCACAAACTGAATTAATTTAGGCGAATTCATATAAACATTTATTAGTAAATACATAGTATGTGTAACCAAAAATTTGAAAAAAATATATAAAATAAAAAATTTCAAACTACAAACGTAAATTACAAAAAACAAAAAACATTAAAATAATGATAAAAACGTTGTTGAACTTAATAATACAAAATTTGTTGTAAATACTAAGAAAACTTATAGAATACTACAAACTAAGACACATGCGAAACAAGGAAATCATTTGATATTAAGCAAAAATTATAAGAAAAAAATATGTAGCTATAATTAATTAATTTTGTACACAAAAGGAGTTCACCCATGCATTAATAGTAAAATTTTACACATAAGTCAGTACCTAAAGAAAATTAAGAAAACTATTCTTTTTTTAAATTGTAAAAACTAATAGCAAAAATAATTTAAATGACCAAGGTAAAATTATATAAAATAAGATTATGTGAATAGGAGAAAATTCCTTAAAAATGTTAACACATACCAACACTTAATTCTATAATAAATGAAAAGCAACAAAAAAAAAACTAACTAAACAAGAAAGTAGTAAAAAATTATGTGTAGCAAAACAATTTAATAAGAAAATGAAAAAAAAGCAAATATTAAATTAAAAAAGCAAAAACAAGTACTTAAGTTTATACTTAGCGCATTTAAGTTTTAAATAAGATTTATACTAAGTTTACACCAGTTAAAATTAAAATGTTTCAGCAAAAATTCAAATAACACAAAAAAGTAACTACATAAATTTAACTGAA